GCGACTTGACGCTACATAGATTGCAATTCATCGAGACTAGAAAATAACCTGGCCCCGATCTTCCACCAAGTCTTCGCCTCCTCCCGTTCCCTTTCCCGCTCCACAGGTGATAAACTTTCGAATTAGATCCACCTGAATACCCGCGTGAATGAGTACGTAGTACTCAAACAGATTCGGTGCCCAGTCTGCAAATACGGTTGACCTACCGCCGCGGTTGAGAGCCATGGCCCCAGGTGATGATGCGGCTAATGGAAGGAATGGCCTGATGTCCCGGTACATCAGAGGTGCAGGGAGACAGATTAGCGGAACGCGTCGCGACGGTGTGGCGGGACACATTATGGTATATCAGGACACAGTGTCCCGCTACACCGCTGCTATACCCTGCCAACTCATGTGTCCCGCCTCGCCATACTCACCTACAGCTCAGTCCCGCCACACCCACCATCATCAGTGCGACGGGACATGACTCACGTGTCGGCCACCAACCATCCATCAAGTCGCCCATGGGGAAGGGCAAGAAAAAGGACTAGGCATCCCTGTTCGCCCGCCTCGTGTGCGGAGTTCAATGAGCATGTTTACCAACACTGGAGCCAGGCGCCAACTTCTGGCATCAGTCAAACTGCAAGCCTCTCAAGTAACCCGCGACCAAGCTCAGAAGGAGATGCAGGACCAATACGAAGGTGAGTACAATTTGCCTGAAAGAAATTCTGGCTACTCATGGTGTCCGTTGGTATTGACTGGTACTGCACGTCAGGCGTTCAACGATGTGCGGGACATCGCAGATCCAACCAACGACACGGATCCCATGGACTGGGAGGATGTACCCGGCGCCCCGGAGGATGACGTAGAATAAAAAGTAAGTCTGTGACCAAATACGTGTTCAGCTTGGACTATGATAACCATGCGACAGGCACGCACAAGAGCGTCGAAAGCGCCGGGACATGATTGCGAAGCAAGTGCACGCATTTGCACCCCAAATGCACGTGATCATCGATGTGTATGTGGAATGGGGTCTTCAGGTAGAGGACAATTTGGAGTCAGCACTTCCACCCCCCGAGACGCGTCTGGTAGAGAAGCTGTATGAAATCACGCTCGTGGACGTATTCAGTATGTCTTGTGCCTCCCAAAGGCTGTTATTTCTGTTAACCATCGACAGCCACATCCTCACGCAGCATACACATGCGTTACACCGACAAGTTTACGACCTCCTGCCTGGTAAGCCGAGGTGTAATACCTTGTGCCCCCTGGACCCCTACTGTCGGCTTCTCTACCCGTGTACTAGAGCTGTTTTGGGTTGCCCATCTATGCACTCCGACTTTAGCCATTCAAAGCTGGATGAAGACTCTTGCCGACCTCCACGCCCTCCCATTCAAACCGTACCGCGCCCAGCAATTCTCGGTGGCATATGACCTTTATCTGGCCATCCTCCGCGGCGTCAAAGAACGGGTGGACAAGGCCATCGGTCGAGATGCACCCGAATGGCGCTTGAAGAACTGTTGCCCCGCCTGCATGTACAAGCTAGAAGGCGAGGTGGAGCTCGTGTTTTCTATGCTCGTGACCGCCGATGGAAATGATTCCTTGAAGCGCGTTCTTCGCCGAGGTGCCAACGAGTATGACGATGAGGGAAATCCAATTCCGGGGCAGTCCAATGAGCGATTCGACCCGCGGGAAGCGACAGCTGGAGAACCATACTTCCTGTCACGAGAGAAGGTTAACCGATGGGCGAAGGATAGATTCAAAGAGTTCATCACTCCGCCAGCTGGTGAGGGGGATCCTCCCACGGTGAGTCACATATTTCCCTCCCCCAGTTTAGTTCTGACCGATTCAAGCAGGACAGCGAGAAAACGAAGACTGCATGCGAAGAGAGATGGAAGAATCTGTCCGAGGATATCACGAAAAAGATGTGGGGGATTTATGATGAGACCGGAGTCTTCATTTGCCTTTGTAGGCATGGTTTTGTATTGCTGGTCGTGGATATGATTAAAAGCAGGGAGCTGTAACTCGTCCTTCTGCACATGGCTGCCACTGACGGGTTGATGCACAGATCAAAATATCCTCTTGCCATCACCAATGAGCTCCACGATGCTTTTGGTTGAGCCATTGGTTTCGGATATGACATAGGGTGTGGCTTCCTTATCACGCTGTTCAATAGCCCGCTTGGACAAAAGGCTCTTCTGCAGAATTTTTCTTGTCTTGTTGGAGCCTTTCATGGGCACGCGCACAACCGACTCTGCCAATTACTCTTCCTGGCCCGATATGTCCTCGGAATGGGCCTCGAAGACCTCGAGGGATGTGAAAGATTCTTTTCCAGGTCGAATGCCATGGCGGGCTCGGTCCGGTATGCAAGCGCCTTCCACAGGCTCCAAACACTGTCGACCTACTTTGCGCACTCCGACACTCACGAGACTTACGCGAACCTAAGTAATTTCTTTCCTAAAAAGTATATTCTTCATACTGAAATGTATCTAGGCAAGTTCCTGGTTGATAACTACTGGCAGGCATTGGAGGTTCTAGATGGAGAGGGCGCACTCAAGATCGCGATGGTAGCGGCGGGAATTAAGAGTCAAGAGGAATTCCCGGCCCGCCTCAAGGCCGAACTTGAGTATCTGCGGAGCCTGACCTCGGACACCGAAGAAGATACTCAACAGATGCAGTACTATCAGCGTTTGGTCAACCTCGCTGATCGCAAGTGAGTAATTCTGCTTTATTTCCCTTTCGAGTCACTCACTTCAATTGTCCTGCCACTTCCATCACCTCCCACCTATGTCCCGCTACACCTTCGACACCACCGCCTTGTGTCCCGCTCACCACCCCCGTGTCCCCTTACACTTTCGACACTGCCGCCTTGTGTCCCCCTCACTGCCTCCGTGTCCCGCTACATTTTCGACACCCTCGCCCTTTGTCCCGCTCACCGACCCCGTGTCCCGCTACACCTTCGACACCGCCTTGTGTCCCGCTCACCACCCCCCCCGTGTCTCACTACACCTTCGACACCGCTGCCTTGTACCCCGCTCACAACCCCCCGTGTCCCGCTACATTTTCGCCACCGCTGCCTTGTCCCCTTCACCGCCCCCGTTTCCCGCTACCTTTCGACACCACCGCCTTGTGTCTCGCTCCACCACCACCATGTACCCCAACATTTTCGACACCGCCGTATTGTGTCCCGCTCACCGCCTCCGGGTTCTGCTACATTTTCGACACCGCTGCCTTGTGTCCCCTCCACCACCGCCGTGTCCCCCTACACGTTCGACACCGCCGCTTTGTGTCCCGCTCACCGCCTCCGTGTCCCACTACATTTTCGACACCGCCACCTTGTGTCCCGCTCCACCACCGCCGTGTCCCCCTACACGCCGCTTTGTGTCCCACTCACCGCCTCTGTGTCCCGCTACATTGTCGACACCGCCGCCTTGTGTCCCGCGATACTAGAGCCAAGCTTGACCTCGCGTTGGGTGAAGCGTCATGCCCGTGAGAACTACGACACGGCGTTGGTGGATGTAAAAGAGTCGGAAAGTAAGATGGGAGTAGAAGTCCGCTGGCTGTCGGGGAGCCAGGAATGGGCAGATGCAGCACATCTGGTCAGCACAAAGAGATACCGTCTAGCACTGATGAAATTGGAAAAGCTTGTGGTGCAGCGGATGTTCGAGCTCACCAAGATGAATATGTCGCAAACAGGTATTTCCTTTGTTTTTTTTCGCCGATCTCTACTCTAAACTGTCTCCAGGTTACAAACTTCGCAAGCACATCGCCAAGGCTCTGCAGGCCCGCTCCCTGGCTATTTGAACGGCACTTAAAAGCTACAACATCGCCGCCGCTGCTATGGTACCCCCTGGGAGGAAGCTTGCTTGGTCGGAGGTTGTAGAATATGTGTTCCTCTCGGACTTCGACCTCCTTCGCCATCCAGAAAGGGGGATTGAGGTCCGACCATGGGCGGACCCTGCGGCCCGACTCCTCATGGACAACTACTTCAAGATTGAACGTGCTCGGGAGGAGATCAAGCGGTGTGATATTGAAATACGGTGTCTTGTGACTCACATTAGGGATGAGGGGGAGTTCTTGGTGTCCCAGGAGAAGACGATCACCGAGACTGACCCAGGCCTCACCTGGTGTGTTCGACGCCATCGTCAACAGCGCGAACACTATGACGCCATCCATCTCCAACGCCTGAATAAATTCGCGGTCAAGGCTGGATCCCGGTTCACAGGGACACTCGTTCCGGGCGTGGCATTGAGCCCACGCAGCCAGAATGCCGCGCCAATGGAGGGTGTGGAGGAGCCCGCACAAACCGATGTGGAGGCCACTGCCATTGAGCTTGCTAGGGTGATGGAGAATATGGGAGTACATGATGTGGAGCGGGAGATTGACGACGATCTGGGTGACATCGCGGAGGACGCACAGTTGGCGGAGGAGTTGCATTTGATTTACATTGCGTCGGAGGACTGATTTGGCCTTGTAATGTATACTGATCTTTTATTTCATCGTGAATTGAGCGGGACATAAGGAAGACGGGTGGCGGGACAGAGGAATAAGCAGGACATAGTAGCGGGATACAAGATTAATCAGGACATAAGGAATATAATCAATTACATCAACGCAATTACAAGGGAGCCCTTACTCAAAGATGTGTTGTTAGCGGCCTTATGGTGCAGTGGTATGCACCGCTGTTAAAGATCGATTGTGTTTTCAATGTTTCAGCAGCTGTGTTGGGTTCGATTCCCAATAGGGCCATTTTTTAATAAAAAAAAGCGTGACATAAGGAAGATACAGAGGGACATAAGGTTATCGGGACATAGGAGGATAACGAGGGGCTCAAGGTTAATCGGGACAAGGGAAGGAGGGACATAAGGTTATCGGGACATAAGGAGGATAATGAGGGGCTTAAGGTTAATCGGGACAAGGGAAGGAGGGACATAAGGTTATCGGGACCAAGGAAGATAAAGAGCGACATAGGGAAGATAATCAATTACACGTGGGAACCCTCACTCAAATAGCAGGTTGCTGACGGCCTTATGGTGTAACGGTATGCACTGCTGCTTCTACTTTGCGCATTGTCTGGTTAAGCAGCCAGGTTGGGTTCGATTCCCAATATGGCCCTGCTCCTGAGGGATGTTCAACCTTTTTTTTCGCAACATGTTGCGTCCACATGGTGTAACGGTAACACACCTTGATTGTATATCACCTTTCCTGACTCATTATCAAGATAATGTGGGTTCAAATCCTGCTGTGGACTTACTTTTGGAGCCTGTTTTTTGGTCCCGCGCCACCCTCTCTCAATGTCCTGCTTCAGTGGGTGATGCCTCGGACAGTATCTCAACTGTGTTGTTGTCCACATGGTGTAACGGTAACACGCTTCGATCGAGTAGATCGGTAATATCATACTTGTATTGAGGTGATGTGGGTTCGAATCCCATTGCGGACTTTCCTTTGGAGACACTATTTTTGGTCCCGCGCCACGGCATCTAAGTGTCCTGCTTCAGTGGGTGATGCCTCGGACAGTATCTCAACTGTGTTGTCGTCCACATGGTGTAATGGTAACACGCTTCGATCGAGTAGATCAGTAATGTCGTACTTGTATTGAGGTGATGTGGGTTCGAATCCCACTGCGGACTTTCCTTCGGAGACACTATTTTCGGTCCCGCGCCACGGCATCTAAGTGTTCTGCTTCAGTAGGTGATGCCTCGGACAGTATCTCAACTTTGTTGTTGTCCACATGGTGTAATGGTAACACGCTTCGATCGAGTGAAGGAGAAACCTCATCCGATTGAGGTGATGTGGGTTCGAATCCCGCTGCGGACTTTCCTTTGGAGACGCGATTTTTGGTCCCGCGCCACGGTATCTAAATGTCCCGCTTCAGTCAGATTGTGGATGGTGTTCCTTATGTCCTGCCTACTCATATGTCCTGCTACGACCCATATTTGTTCCTTATGTCCCGCTTACTCGTGTGTGTCCTGCTACGACCAGTACCCGCTGGTTATGTCCCGTGTACTCGTCTGTCCTGCTCCCACCCATATCTATTCCTTATTTCCCGCCTACTCATTTGTGTTCCTTATGTCCCGCTTACCCGTGTGTCCTGCTACCATCCATACATGTCCCGCTTACCCCTCGGTCCTGCTACCATCCAACATGTTCCTTATGTCCCGCTTACCCCTCGGTCCTGCTACTGTCCATACCTGTTCTTTATGTCCCGCTTACCCCTGCGTCCTGCTACCACTCACATGTTCCTTATGTCCCGCTTGACCCTGCGTCCTGCTACCACTCATACCTGTTCCTTATGTCCCGCTTACCCCTGCATCCTGCTACCACTCACATGTTCTTTATGTCCCGCTTGCCCCTGCGTCCTGCTACCACTCATACCTGTTCCTTATGTCCCGCTTACCCTGGCGTCCTGCTACCACTCATACTTGTTCCTTATGTCCCGCTTACCCCTGTGTCCTGCTACCACTCATACCTGTTCCTTATGTCCCGCTTACCCCTGCGTCCTGCTACCACTCATACCTGTTCCTTATGTCCCGCTTGCCCCTGCGTCCTGCTACCATCCATATCTGTTCCTTATGTCCCGCTTACCTCGGCGTCCTGCTACCACTCATACCTGTTCCTTATGTCCCACTTAATAACCCCCAATGTTGCAGCGGGGGTCAGGACAACGTCCTGCTTGGCGTTGTGTCCTGCTACCTCCAGTAGCTTTCCCCCTCCTGCTCATCGAGGATCTACGTCCCACCCACGGTCGACACCGTTACCCCCCTTTTTAAGCGGGACACATCCCGGTTGAGGAGCTTTTCATGGGGAGCCGGTGGAAATGTTCCGCCATGTCACGCCGGTTGCGGCGGGGTATCCGAGGGGCACCCTTGGCCTGGCTTTGGTCTAACTAGAGGCGCCATAGGGGTGACATGTCCCGTCTAGTTAGACGGGTTAGTTGGTATTAGCAGGTGCTAAACATTTTACTCAAAGAGGCCGCGCACGGTCTGTTGCTGTCACCGGTACATCTCTTCTCATGATTACTTCTCCCGTTCACGGCGCTATAGTTAATTCCGCTGCAACCTCACTCAAATCGTTCATCCTTCTTCGAAAACTGCCATTTGCCGCTTCCCACCGAAGACGGTCTTCTTTGTCTTGTCGTCGCTCAAACCTGCTGCAAAGTCAGTCGGGTGTTTTAGGAAAGGTGCGCTTCGTTTGTACCAATTTTTCCTTCGTTCTGTACAGAACGTGGTGACGCTATCTGCAGACGCTGTGCTCAACGATAAGCGCATCGCCCTCGTTTCATAGCCCAGATATATTTGTTTACTGACAGATCGCTATCAAAATTATTCGCGTGTCGGATGATAGCTCTGGTCAACTACAGGACATCTTAGGGGTAGGTTGGTTCTTTCACCACAATTTGTTGAAATGTGATGTTTTCTCGTCCAGCGGCTCCGGCGTGAAGCAGATGTCTGGAGCCGGCTCAAGCATAAAAACATCCTTCCATTCTTTGGTGTATGCGAAGATCTAGCCGGCGCCCCTACACCTGTCTTGATATCTCCCTTCTATAAATCTGGACACGTAGGAACTTATCTCAGAAAGCATCCTAACACCAATAGGAAAAAGTGGTAAGTGATATTTCAATCATCTCATTCGTATACATGAATAATTTCTGTCTGTCTTGTAGGTGCGTGGAGTAGCATCCGGGCTAGAGCTCCTACATGCGAATGAAATTGTACACGGAGATCTGAAAGTGATAAGCAAGCAAAAACTCTCGTTCAGGATTCATGACGTGACAATGCTTGGTCATCCTTCAGCAAAAATATCTTGGTCGATAAACGCGGTGTGCCACGCCTATGCGACTTTGGGATCTCCAAAATCCTGAGCCGCCGAGCCTTTACGACCTCCAGCGTCAGAACAGCGCCGTACATGGCACCAGAGCTATTTCTCGTTATTGATGGCCCGGCTCAGGAGCAATCACTCGATTGATCAAACGAATCCTATCGTCTTGAAATAGCGCTTCAGATTCTGACTTCTGAAGCGCCGAAAAGAGGACCAAGCAAAACAATCGTGACCACAGAAATTCTGGCGCAGCTTCAGCCAGGCCGAGAGGACCACGATATTGACACGGTGACAAATGCAACATGGTCTGTGCTCACTCAATGGTGGAGCTTCGAACCGCAATTGAGACCACCAATCACCGAGGTCCTCAGCGAACTAACCGCTATCTTCACCTGATTTGCGGCGGCGGCGGCTTGAAGCTTTTGTTTTCCCAGAAATTCAAGGCATTCCATTAAATTTGTTTTGCTCCTTTGTACACCACGTCTGGCAGTCCCAGTATTTAAATTTTAGATACTATAGGTGGGGGTTAGCCGGCCACCTTAGCACTGAGAGATAAATGCCGCACGTTGTAAGCATGTCATCATTCTCAAGAGGTATCACATACAGCAGACATCCTAGGCTTGAGCTTCATTGATTTTAGCCGACAATTTGACGGCAAGTACAGCAAATTTTCTTCCGGCAACATATCAAAAACGGCAATTGATGCCTTAGTTCGGCCTGTAAGAAGATATCGGCAACCATTTCAGCCGCACTGATTAGAATCGGCGGTTTCGGCAGGGCTGATATGCCAGTCACGCCGCAGATCGGCTGAAACGGTTGCCGATATCTTGTATTTCTTTTTGGAGCATTGGGTCTGACCTAACGGCACTCAGCAGAAGCATTCCAAGCTGTCCGCTTTTACTACTGGTTTTGAGCCAGATATTGCCGGGGAAGATGTCCAGGAGGAAATGCCATTATACACGGTATGTACCAGTGTGGAACTCCAGCGATCGCGGTGCTAACCAACACTGATTTTCAGGGTCAAAGGCTGTATACCCCCATCAATAGACGCATATCGTGCTGAATAGACGGATTTGGACTTGCCGCCGCATGCCGCGCCCAAAGTCACGCTTCGGCATCGTGTCACGACTCAGTCATTGACTCTTCCTCAGCCCTCCGTCCTACAACTTACTTGACACATGGCTCTCGGGCATTAACTCCCTGTGATCATCAACTTGCGCCGCTCCGAGCCACGGTGCTCGCCCGTGTGGAGTTGTTGGGAGGATGAAGGGAGATCCGGAACTGAGGTGCGCCGCTATGGCATCGGTGCGACTCTGTGGCTCTCGGCTTTCATCGACGCGACTCTGCGGCTGGCTTGGAAGATGGCTGACTCCGACGCACTGGTGCCATCCATTATACTGATCTCGACGGTTTGGCTGCAGAATTCAAACCCGGTACACGTTGCATCTGTGGAGTTTGCTGCACGTACGACTTTCCTGCTTGGTTTTGTGTATTCGCGGTTCAGGCGCTCCAGTACGCGATGACCCGGTATGAAGTTGAACCGCTATACATCGCGCTCATCATCACCACGGTGTGCGTCTTGCCGCTGGTTGTGGCTGCAATCACGCACCAAGATGGAAGTCTTGTAATGATGAACCCTGTTGGAAGGACACCGGGTAGGATCGGGAACACGGCACTCTTGACGGACTCGGAGTGGGTGGCGGTGGTTCTCAGTTATTCGGAGTTTTTTCGCTCAATGTATTTGTAAAGTCGACCTGTAGTATGGCCGCGGCGTATGCATGTATATATGACCTCGGGGAATACAGCCGTGAAGTTCTTGAGTTCAATGCGCTCTTCCACGTCTTTGTACACAAGCTCAACGAGAGATACAGCAATAGAATTATCTATGAATATTCTTACGGGAACCACAGCGAATAAATGTTAGAACTAAATCGTGGATGCCGACATCACTGGCACCCCTCAGATAATCCCCGGAAAGTATCTATCCTTACGGGAAGTCAACCACTCCTTAGGGCCTGAGAATTATTGTATAGTTTAGTATTCATGGGCAGGATTGTTGTGTGGAATTTTAGACAGTGACTACCTGTCTTATCTGAACTGTGGACCCAGTTCAGGGCCATTGATGATTAAGGTTCCCCAGGGGTAGAGGTAAACCTCCAAAGGTCAGAGGTAAGGTTCAAGGAGGTAGAGGTAGAGGTCAAGGCAAAGTTGTACCTCCCAATTCAAAATCAAGATTTCTAAGTCTGTGCCCATTCTCTGGTGGACTAATAAGCTAGAAATGATTGTTTAACATGCTAACTTAGGTCCCAGAGATCTACAGGACCTTTAAAGGAGAATACCTCTTAATTTACCTCCCAAGGTCAAGAGGTAGGGTCAGAGGGGTAGAGGAAGAGGTTGGCCCATTTGTACCTCTACCTCTACCCCTGGTGAACCTTATTGATGATATACAGACAATATTCCTTTTATTAATGAATCACAACGACGAGACAATGGGTCCCAGGTGTTGCAATCTTCCTGTTCGCTCTAATTCCAACATCCATCAGTAAGGTTCAATTACATCTCGTCATCCGTTCACGCCAAACTCAGGAAGTAAATATGACCAAAACTTTGGTTCAACTGTGC